AGCATGGAAAGCCAATATCCCAAATAATTGTGTCTTCCAAAATTCTTGTCAGAATCAACCATGTAACTCACTACTTCCATCTACTCCTGCGAGCTTGGTAAAGTACACCCTACCCAACACGTCCCAAAATTTACAGGAAGTATCTATCCGACGAGACTCTTGCAATTCCCCTCGACGAGATCGAGTTCCACAAGAGCCTCACCTTCTTAGAAGAACCATGGTGACCATGGATCGAGGTCAAGCGGATGAAACAACGCCACTTCCCATTAGTGAAAGTTCGCTGGAATACTAACCAAGGACCTAGAGTCACATGGGAGCGCGAGAATTAGTCGATTAGGAAGTATCCTCACTTCTCGGCTTGATTATTCATGCCTATTCCTTGCCTAAATTCAAATTTCGGGACGAAATTCCTTCTAACGGGGGGATGATGTGATGACCGTCAAATTTCGGTCAAGTCAAAGTCAACTAAAGTCAACAGGTCAAACCGTTTGACTCAATTTGCCTGTGAGTACTAGAATTTACACTATGAAACTTCTACATAACTTCTATTCTAATGAGAAATCATAAAGCAAAAAGTGCGAACATCTAGATCTCCTTAACCTAAAACTGTAGTACGTGGCGAGCCAAACCGATAAAACAATGATGCATACTCATCGGGAGTGTGTAAGATCCTTAAACAAGGCTTAACAGGGTTTACGAACCATGCATTGCGATGCCGGACACTCACAATTGTCACACATGGATCCTCTCTCAATCGTTTTCACTCTGTCTCTCTTTATGTCAAATCTCTCCCAAATCTCTCCAAGTATGTGAAATCTCTCTCAAATATCTCTCTGTATTAGAAATCTCTCCAAGAATGTCGAATCTCTCCCAAATCCCTCTAAGTATGTGAAATCTCTCTCAAATATCTCTCTGTATGAGAAATCTCTCCAAGAATGTCAAATCTCTCCCAAATCCCTCTAAGTATGTGAAATCTCTCTCAAATATCTCTCTGTATGAGAAATCTCTCCAAGAATGTCAAATCTCTCCCAAATCTCTCCAAAAGTTTCTTGTAACTTTTTAGAATCATTCGGGTCATTCCGACCCTTAACCGGGTCAAAAACGGCTTAAAACGGGGCGAAAACGAGAAAAATAGGCTTTAGGAACCGAAACCAAGAAGAGAGGCCTCTTAGGACCAGAACCGAGCCTCTGTTGGCTGAGGCATGCGAGACCGAGCCTCGGTCTCTGCCCCTCTCGGTCTCTGCTCCTTCTCGCTTTCTCTGTTCCCTTCTCTCGCTCTGTCTCTGTCGCCTTCTCTGTTCCCTTCTCTCGCTCTGTCTCTGTCGCCTCATCTGTTCGCTTCTCGCTCTGTCTCTACCCGCCTCTCTGTCTTTTCCCTACTCTCGGTCTCTGCCCGCCTCTCTGTCTTTTCTTCCCTCTCGGTTCCTCTCCTCTCTCTTCTCCACTCTCGGTTCCTGCTCTCTCTCTTCTTCCCTCTCGGTTTCTGCCTCCCTCTCTCTCGGTTCAGCATCAGAAGACCGAACCTCGGCCAGAATTCGGAAATTTGTCACTTTTAGCCCATTTTTGATATTTTTAACATTTTTAGCCCGTTTTTCATGATTTTAAAGCGGGATTTTCTCCAGAAATTATATTTTAACATAATAAACTCTAAATATTCATAATTTAAACAAATTTTGATGAAAATCATTATCTAAATAATAAAAATCAAATGGGTGAATTATTAAAGGTGGAGTGTTGACTTTGCCTTATCCAATGTCACAACCAACCACCCCACACCCACTCTTTGACTAACCACATCTCCCCACCTTACCTAAGTCACTTCAATGTCCCTTACACTCAAATTACACTCATTCCCACGTTTTTAGAGCTGGAACAAACATCCTCTCTCCTCATTTCTCTCATTTGCTCTCATTTCACTAAGTATCAAACACCACTATTCTCTCAAACTCTTTCTCCACCAAACTCGAGATTCAAGGCTGATTATCAAGTGTTCTTCCACATTTGGTAAGCATAATTCATCCTCCTTATGATTATTTCACTTCATTCTACTCAAATCATGAATATCTTACACAAACTCCATCATATTAGCGTTAGAGCTTCGAATCTTCAAGTGATTCTTCAAGTGTTCTTGGGTTGAACACTTCTCTTCTTCAACACTTATCTACTGAAATCACTCAAGGTGAGTTCATACCCCTACATTTTTATGTTTTCTCAAGTTTCAGGGAGGGAATACAAGTTAAAACACTAAGAACATAACTAAATTTTTCTAACAGCCTTCAGCAGAAAAGTTCAACTCCATTCACGGACTGTTTTGGGCATCTTAAACATTTTTGTTTTCAAAACTGTACAAGGTGAAAATATTTCAAGTTTTTAGCTTTAAAATGACTACTTGCACATCTCCATACGATTTTTCTACAATTTATGGTGATTTTTACAAAACTGCCTATCATTTCAAACAACAATCCGGACTAGTCTGTGATTTTGGACTTATTCACCCAAGTTGGAGGTCATTAAAAATCGTGATAAAAATTATGAGTAAACTAGACACATTTTTTGAACTCTCAGAATTTACGGATCTAGTTTTCGACTTCGTATGATTTTTCTATGATTTTTCCAAAACAGGGCAGAATGGCTAAATTTAGCCAACAGCATGTAAATATCATAACACTTTGTAACATGTTGAGCAAAGTGTATAATCATAAGTTCTAATTATTGAATGTGTTTCTTTGTTAGTTGATCATCATGAACTGAAATTAAGTCATTCATAATAAATATTATTCATTCATTTTAGAACACGTATATTAAACTATAAAAAGTATAGTTTGATAAATTCATAACACTAATACATTTCCATAAAAGAGTTCATACATATTACATACATTTTGGATAAATTATAATAGGTATAGTTTATGATACATCACTCAACACACTCGTACAAAAAGGGTACATTCATACAAGAAAGATTTATATTCACACACATTTCACGTAAATTTGTTAACCTCTAGTTTGATAAATTCATAATACTAAAACATTTCCATAAAAGAGTTCATACATATTACATACATTTTAGATAAACTATAATAGGTATAGTTTATGATACATCACTCAACACACTCGTACAAGAAGGGTACATTCATACAAGAAATATTTATATTCACACACATTTCACGTAAACTTGTTAACCTATATTGTGAGACTCTCTCTCTCTCTCTCTCCCCGTACGTCCGAGTGCGGGATATAATTCCTGGTAGTTATAATCAGAATCTCCTTGAGGGAGAACGTGATACTTGTATATAGATCTATATTGGGTTTGACACCCCACACCTTGCTGCTAGCTACAGTTGGACCTGCAGGTCTACGAGTGACAAATGTCATTTTATTTTTCGCGACACCTGAGAACGTCATGGCAGGTTCACATAGTCATAGTATGATTATAGCGACTCACATAGGGATATAACAATCCATAAGTTTACGGAATTTTATTTTTAAAACCTAAATGAGTTTTATGTCGATTTTAAATCACTTTTTATCTCTATGAGTACAGATATTACTGTACACTTTTGGTTTTGGTAGTTACGACTACACATCATTTGAAACCACATTTATACTTTTAAGTATGGTCAATACTTGTTATTTCTCGGTCCTCTAATTTAGGACTACATATATATAAAGTATTAACGAACATGAGAACATACAGAAATTTCATTTAATTCAAACGCGTCCATGTCCATTTAAGTACATAACATTTTCTATTAATAAGAAAGGTTAGTTATACATTTTGGTCTTCAGTCATAAGACTACATTACGCAGATTTTAAAGAAAATATCGGATTTTCTGGATACATATTCTAACGCTTTTACAAGGAAAACGATTTACTTTTCCAACGAAATCTCTTATGAACTCACCAACTTTTGTGTTGACACTTTTCAAAACTACTTGTATTCTCAGGAATTCAGTGAAAACAGGAAAGCAACAACGTTTTGAGGATGGGATAATAAATCGTCAAACAGTTCATTTTGTATTATAATGTAATTGATGTGAATCATGTAAACATGTGCTTTGATGTAACGTTTTCAATTATATTTGTGTTGGTTGTATTTACTTTGAGCACTATTATACTCATTGTTGTGATACTCTACATGAAGTCCTCCACCCCCGGACGTTTCCGCCATCCTTGGTTTGGGGGTGTGACAAATGGTAAGGGGATGAAATCCACAGAGATTTGTTCAATTTGTTACTTCTATAAAAATCTTGTTTTACAAACACTTGTAAGCTAAAATAAAATAAAAATGGAGGATTTTTTTTTATTTTTTGAACTATTTAATAGAAAACTAGAATTAAACTAAAATTTAAAGAAACAATTTAACAAAAACAAGAATTTTATGTAAAATCAATGAGAGAAAGATGGTTGACTTAAGGTTTATCACTTGAACATTTGATGAACACATCAAAATCTAATGGTGCAATATTTATTTTAAATATTTAATTTGACTATAGGAATCCAAGAAACTTAAGACTACCTAGATTTTTCTTAATTATTAAAATAGTTAGAGAATCTAATAACATATTTTTGTAGTTAAAGTCATAATTTTCATTAAACATATAATTAGTGAAAATTAACTAGAAATAAGCAATTGAAAGTCACTGTGCATATTTGGGAAATCATCTAATCGGCAAACATGTGTATCAAAATTGTATTAAACATTGAAATGTTAAACATGTAATTAGTGAAAATTAACTAGAAAGAAGCAATCGAAAGGCACTGTGTATATTTGTGAAATCATCTAATTTGGCAAACATGCGTATCAAAATTGTATAAAACATCGGAATGTTAAACATGTAATTAGTGAAAATTAACTAGAAAAAAGCAATCGAAAATCACTGTGCATGTTTGGGAAATCATCTAATTTGGCAAACATACCTATCAAAATTGTATAAAACATCGGAATGGAATGAATGCATAGCGACTTTGGACGCCATAAACCAAGTCGTACTCAACGATGATACCTACGACATTACAATGGAAGAACCAAGGTAAACGAGTCGTATCGTCTTCGGAAAAAAAAAAAAAAAAAAAAAAAAAAAAAAAACCCCTAAACATAATCAAATGACATGCAATATTTCAAATAAAACAAAAGTTGACTTTCAAATGTAACCAAGTGATATGCAAGTATCAGCACGATGGTAAGGGACCTCGAAATGATGCTTCTTGTTAAAACGGATGATTGGGAGAAAATGTAAAAATAATATGTAACAATTATTTTGTGGTGAATGATACTCGATAGTTATTTTTGTAATTTTTCTCAATTCTAAATTGCTTTCGATATGAAAATCAGCTGATTAACGTGCACTTTATGTTACTAAATCTGAATTATCTACTTTTAAGCGTTTAATGTGAATTTCGTGTTTTCAATGTGAATGGACATTCATGGATGAAACTTGCAGATTGTTCTAGTATCGTAGCTTCGCATCATTACTAATTGTGGATTTCTTTGAGTATCCATTTTAACAAAAGTCATGATCTCGTGAAAGATACGTCACCTTGTGTCATCATCAATTTTGATTATTTGCACCGGTGTTCCCTTCCTACGCGTGTGGTGTTTCTTTGCTGCCACGCCGCATCCCACCACCGTCGCTACGCCATTGAATCATTTCCAAGGTTTTGTCGCTACTCCTCCCTTTTACTAACTGTTCCTCGGCGAACATCTTCAACACATCATCAAAATCAGAGTTAGGGTTACGCTTTTAACACTTTCTTCGGTTTGATTCCAAATTAAATGCTCTGTTATTAGAAGAATGGGACCATTATCCTATACTCAAAGAAGCTCCGCTTATTTCTCTGCTCTCACCCAAGAGATCGACAAAAAGCTTCAGCGGGTTTGCCTTTGCCTTTTTGTTTACGTCTTGGTTTTCTTCGACTGTGTTATAAGTTGAATTGGTATGGTGATTTTGAGGTCTTGTTTCTCCTGTGTGTTCCTCAGGCACTTGCTTCACCAACTCAAAGACGCGATTTATTACAACAGCTATTTGCAGACGTAGCTTTACAAGTTGACGATCGAGCTAGAGGTAATCAGTAACCGACACCATTAATTATATGCTTTTTTTACTTTGGATCTCAGAAATTCACACTGTTGATCATTTTTGGTACTTTGATTGATTTCCTCGAACGGGATTGAAATTTGAAACAGATATAATCCTTGAGGATGCGTTACAGATTAAGGGATCTTTATGCTTTTACGATGTTCTTGCTGACCATTTTGCGAATGAACTTGAGCGAGGGAAACCGATCATTGATTTGATCGTTCAACTATGGAGCCAGCCTTTTGCCTCTCATATATTTGCATTATTGTTCCATAAATGGGTATGTAGAGTCAATCTGTTTATTCAATTTATGCTAATATTCATTTAAATCCTCAAAAAATCTATTTTACAGTTGTTTGAAGTTGAAGTTGATAGTCCAGATCTCCTCCTTCGCTACTCCTCAGCTCTTGTCCAAGGTGCTATGAATGTTTTCTGGTATGGGGTTTGCAATATCAGACATTTTGTTTGATTTAATGAAGTAGGTTTTGTTGATACATGTATTATGTTTATTGGTAGGATTGACATCCAGACAAACACCACCCATTTCCAAAGTCTTTTTAGGGTATGACACGTTTTCACTTCTTGTTTTATTTATTGTTTGTGCATATACTAAATTGAGATTTTTTCCATTTTTAAATTGGTTCTTAGTATCTTCTTGAGGATGTTGCATTGGTGCCCGAGAAGTTGAAGAAAATCCCTTTGCAGGTTAAGTAGCGATATCAAAATGACTCCATAATGTATAATAAATGTTACACAATAAACCAAGTTAAAAAAACATTGAAAAATTAAAACCCCTTTTTTTTTATTCTTTCCTCTGTCAGGCTCAAAGAGATCTGTTTCTTCTTCTTTCAAGATTTATATTCCTTTATAATCTAGGTAGGTATATACGTTAAAACCGCTAGTAAATCTCTCCCTTTTACCACTTTAGATACTGGTTATAATCTCAAAGAAAACGCTTGTCACAGATGAAAAGCTTGAATCCTTATTTCACCATTTCCCGGAGTTCCCAAACGCTTTCTTGATAGGTGGGCCCGCGGATGTTTTTCTTATCGAACTAACTAATCAGGTGAGAGCTACAATACAATAATAAAAACAAAATCCGATCTAATTCAGATATTTTTAATTTTTATGTAACATTATCCATATTTGTGAAGCTTCAAAAATTAAAAGTGGAGCCAGCGTTGTTACATTACCTTTCCCGCATTAAAGTTCTTCAAGGTTTGGAACTTCGAATGACAACAAGTACCAGACTTAAAACGTGCTTGTACAGCTTCACGTCTCCCGGTGGGCCCATGTATCCAACACGAGCCGTTCGTCATGCAGCCTGGGATGCTCTTGATTTTCTTTTTCCGGTGAGTAATTCTTTTTTTTTTATATAATTTTATCATCAAATGATAAAAATATATATGATTGATTAATAAATATGGGTTTTGTTAATGTTAATAAGGTTGGGCAATATCCTCGACATGTTATAAGTTTGTTTTTCCGGCTGTTATATCCATGGTACTGGCCATCCTCTTGTTGGAATTTTGTGTTGACATGCATACACGTCATATTGTATTCAATTGCGAGGCTCATTTTCCCTACAAATAAGTTGAGGGGGCCCCACATGTAGCTGTTGTGGAATTATGTTTTGTTGTATTACTGTTGATTGTACTTGAAACTATATTTTGTATACCCTTTTTTTCAAGTTACAATAGCTTGTGAATCTCTTTAAATTGTTGTAGTTGATAGATACACAAAAGTCTCAACCCAACCATGTCACCAAGTAAAAAACTGAGCAGCTACAACCTGTTTGTCCACATTGGCAACATGTTAACTAACAACACAACAATTATTAAATGAAACACAGAGAAAACTACCTTGAATTCCTCATTACATCTTCCAAGAACTAGTTATTTCTGGCAATTGATGTAGACTTTGATGCTTTTTGTCCATGTGTTGAAGGATGCACAGATATAAAGAAGATGATAGGAGTACAGACAGACACACACACCACAAACTGAGTATCATAATAATCAATACAATACAATGGTCTAACATCTATAGTAATAACCATAAAGCTCCATAAAAAGAAACTAAGTTTCTACAATCCTCCCACCCTATCACCAGTTTTAGCCTAGAGAGTTGGGTATGTGTTCAGTTGACAAAAGACAAAATACAAACAAGGTTTTGGTGCATAACTGATGATTGATGATCTCAGTTAGTTTGCATTGATTCTTGATGGTACTTCTCCAAATCAGCATCAAGATCATCTGCAGATATCTTTTCTCCACCACGACCTCCTCCTCCTCCTCCTCTTCCACGTCCACCACGGCCCCTTCCAAATCCTCCACCACCGCCACCTGATCTTCCACCAAATCCACCAACCCTTCCTTGTCCACTGTTCATAACATGCAACACAACAAAACTAATAAGAGATCCAATATTCAAGTAAATGCTCTCTTATTATGTAAACATTCTCAACATGCATGTTTAATAGTTAAGACATTTATGTAATCTATAAGCTATCACCAAACCATTCAAAGTTTGCAAATAAATGCAACCAAGGATTCAAATTACAAGAAAAAACCATACCTTCTTGGAAAACCATTCATGTTTCCAAAAGAGTTGTTTGGCAATGGAAGACCAGCAACAGGAGCTACAATGTTTAATCCCACAATCTCTATCTTCATTGGCTTCCCATCAAGCTGGACATTGTTATACCTTTTGACAGCTGCTAATGCATCTTGCCTTCTTGAATACACAATCTCAGCCGTCCCCTGAAAGAAAATTTAGTTACAACAGAATCACAAACATGAAACTTTACAAAAGGTACTCAAAACTTGAAAGTTACCTTTGATCTCCCGCTTCTATCATAATGTATAGAATACTTTTTCAGGTCACCAACTTCTGCAAAGAGCTCCTACACAGATTGAAGTGGTTTCATCCATGTAAGATTTTCACCCAAGAACTTCTATGATTTTACCAGTAAAAAAATATAAAGTATGGTGTGCACAAAATACAATCTCATCCACAAATCGACCAAAACAGCCTTCAGATACATCAACTACACTTCACACTTTTCTTGTTACTTTTAGGGTTTGCCTAACTACAAGCAATCATTAATCTCTACTATAACTTAGATTGGCTATGTACCATTTAATTCAATCTCTTGCACACGAGTAAAAGAATCTGGAAATAGATTTATATATCTTCAAAGAATCTTTATGATGTATTGTAAATTGTAATTTATACTAACTTTGCCTTCTACCAAGTACCAAACTTAGAAGTACAAAGATTTCAATTTCGCGTTTATTAGATCATCAAAAACAAGAAACAACCAAATCAGTTTGATTTTTTGAAATATTCAAGTCTGATTTTTTATGGTTAATCCAAACATTGGAGTACGGTACCCAGATCTAGCCAAAGTGGCTATCAGAAGTAAAAAGAAAGTAGAAATCACCTTAATATCGTCATTCGAGACACCGTAATCAAGGTTTGATATGTAAAGCTTCGTCCCAGTTTCAATCGCAGATGGACGGCCGCCAGGTCCAACGTTCCCCATGACCTGATCCGGAACACCGAACATATCATGCCTCCAAGCCGCATCTGGTGCCTAAATCAGACACGGAAACCCTTTACAAACATACTTTAATCATCACCTACATCTACATACCAACCTAATAAACATGACAAACATCAAATCTACCCGATCTAAAACTAATCAACCTTAGGTCCGCCGTAAGGAGTCGCTCGGTTAGCACCGCGATTATTGAAGCGACGTGCAGGTCCAGGTCCAGCTCCTCGACCCCGACCCCGACCACGACCACCGCCATCGCCGCCGCCGGATTTCTTATTGTTCTTGATGAGATCGTCAAGCGACATATCTAAAGCAGCACCGGCCATTACTCCAAATACACCGTCGATTAGCGAAAAGAAGACAAGTTTAGAGTGAATTCGTGGCTGTAGATGAGATGAATAAATTAGGGTTTGGAATCGAGAGGGAAATTTTCAGGATTCGGGTTGAATGATTCGTACCAGAGCGCAGATATTTAAACCTGGATATTTATTGATTGGTGATAAACCAGTTTAAACACAAAAATGTCAAGTGGTTTCGTGGTGTAGTTGGTTATCACGTCAGTCTAACACACTGAAGGTCTCCGGTTCGAACCCGGGCGAAGCCATTTTTATAATTCAAATTTTATTATCCTGAATCAATGCTATTTTTGTATTTCCTCTCACTTTCAAATACAAACATTTTCTTGTAAAATAAAATAAATCGCATACACATAAATTTATGAACTCTATTTGTGAAAACACATTTAAAGTTTTCTGAATTAGAAAAAAAGATAATGAAACCAAATTTAAAATTGCATACTATCAAAATTTAACATTTTTCTTACATCTAAGCATCTAATTTTCTACAAGAAAAAAAAAAGTAAAAAATAAATATAAAAATCACATGCAATATAATGTAATGACGGGGAAAGCAAAGGCTGAGGATGAACAAGAAAAAAATATCATTTGCTGTTATTATAAGTTGTATTTTTAAATAAAAATATATAATAATTTTTTTGCCCTGTGTAATTATCCATTTTACCCCCTCAACGCCTCCCATGATTTTCAGTAGCCATATTGTATAATAAAAGATCAATTTTTACGCTATTGTTTTAATTTTAATGTTTCTAATCAAGTATTACTTTATTTTATTTTTTTAGTGTTGACCATTCTACCGTAGTTGCTACACCTGAATTAACATTAAAGTATTGTTTGTTATTTTGAAATAAAAATTGGTAACATCCCAAGTCTAGGTATACCTTGTAACCCTTGATCTTTTGAGTACTTGTCCATTTTAGCCCTTTATTGAGAAAAGGTGGTGAATGAGTACGCAGGGGGTATGCGAGTGTACGCTCAGCATACTCATATGTGTGCTTTTGACGGGGAAGCCACCTAGTACGTTGGGCGTACTAGGCCCAAAGTGAAAACCCTAATTTAGGGTGAGTCCTTTGTATAAAGGATATGATGGCCTTATTCCTGGCCACCATTCTCAGGCAACAAACCCTAAACCTTCATTCATAGAGCTTGTGAGTGCATTTGAGAACCTTTGAGTGATTTTGTGTGTTCTTGGAGTGAAGAAGAAGCTTTGGAGAATAATGAGTAAGAGTCCAGGCCCTTGGATCTAAACATATATGTGTTGGGAGCTTCATATAGAGGTATAAAGCTTCAAGCTTTCTCACTCTTTTGATTTATGCATCATAGTAGAGTATTTAGGGTTTTGTCCCAAAAGTTGGAGACTTTATGAGATATTGAGCTCCAAAGACTATGATCAATCCCTTTTAGTGTATTTAGTGGTGTAGTGTCATGAAAATCAAGACTTGGACGTTGGAATCAAGCCATGCATGAGATATGAGCATTTTGAGTTAAGAGAGTGAGGGTTTTGTGTGTTTGTGGCCTTATCAGCCATGCAAATGCTTAAAGTCACTGACTAAGACCAAACAAGCCAAGGTCTAAACCGATTAAGACCCAAAGAGTATAAATAGTGAAAATGGGACGTACGTTGGGCATAATCCCAGTACGCGCAACGTAGGGGTCGAGCATCCCCGATGCCTGCATGACAGTAGAGTACGCCCAGTGTAGAGAGCTGGTACGAACAACGTACGCACTGTCGTTGACTTTTGGTTGACATTTAGGGTTTAGTCGATATGTGGACCATTAAAACCATGGAAGGGTAAAATGGTCTTTTACCCTTCTGTGAGTTTGCAGATGGGTTGGTCTAGCTTCATTGAGAGTCATTATTAATTAGGGATAATTATCGTATTGTGTTAGGCGGAGGCTAGACCAGTGATTCGAGTTCGAGATTATCTGATTCTTACGAGCTGAGTCTTCTCACTATACATACCTAGAGTGGTAATCTGGGTGTATAACCGGAGGGTCTTATGTGCTTATATTGAGTATTGTGATATTTTGCATTTTTTCTATGCGATTTACGTTGTGTATTATTCTGAGCTTACTGAATTAGGATCGGAGGGTCCATATGAGTTACGACCGGAGGGTCCACCCGTGTTGTGGGACCGGACAGTCCCACTGAGACACATTAACCAGAGGGTATTATTGAGTTATAGCCTCGAGTGACTAATGAGTTGTGTGTGAGGTATTTTGGGAAACTCACTAAGTTTCGTGCTTACCATTATTTGTGTTATGTGTTTTAGGTACTTCTCATGATCGCGGGAAGGCCCCGACTTGATTGTACACACCCTCATTGGATATATGTTTTTGGAGGATCCTGGATTTGTGATAAACAATTTTTAAAATATGTGTTGATGACTGATACTTGAGATTTTTGAGAAAATGTGACACGTGTTTATTTGTGTTTGAAAATGAAAATTTTGGTTTGAAATTTTACGGTGTTACAAGTTGGTATCAGAGCCTTGGTTTGAGGGATTCGGATGCACCTCCGGGTGTGTTTGAACTCAAACTGAGGATTTGAGAAAAAATTTCAAAAGATATATTTTTTCTAAAATGAGAAAGAGTTTAAGAGAAAATGAGTTGGAGCAGTGTGTACAATCAATTAGAGCCCGAACGGTGATTTCTCAAAATACCCTTACTTTTGTGTTATGAGATATTTTATGAGATATTATGCATACTAGAGGGTAGGCTATGTATTTCATATTTTAGGACTGGAGTTGCCGGAGTTGTTATGCCTTAGCCTAGGAGTTGTTACTATCTATGATTTGCTTTTGTGTATGAGATGACTAAGAGTATTTAGCAGATATCACATAGAGAGGGTTTTTGAGTTGAGAGAAAATCTAGGAGAGACACCTAGATGAGCTTCAGATGGGTCTATTGATAGAGTAGTATGTGATTCGTGAGATATGGAGTATTTGTGATTTGGGATCCTATGAGGAGGACTTGGGGTGACTACAGGTTGGTGTGTAAGGTGGTATTGGGACCGTACTACTAAAAGCACTGGAGTTGTAGGCAGTCCAAGTAAGAATCCTTAGGATGCTAATGAGCAAGTAGGGGCGAGTGATCAAGTGTGAGTATACTCGATCGAGTCTGTGATGATTTTGTGTTGTGTTTTAGAGACATCATGGTGGGTACACGTCACAACCAAGAGAGGAGTGGAGTTAACGACGATGAGATTCGCATGATGATTCACGATGAGGTGGCCGCATCCATACAAGAGGCCATTCTGGAGATGTTTGGGTCTATTAAGACCACCTTGATCGATACGTTTGACGAGCCATATGTTGCAGTTACCGAGGCGGATGCTGCTGCAGCTGTCGCTGCTGCCAGGCCACAAGAAGGTGACTCGTTGTTGTACCAAGAGATCAACAACATGATGCCACCAGAGTTTGATGGGACTCAGGATCCGATTGCTACGATGAAATGGATATCTGATATCGAGGGGTGTTTCTACACTTGTTCATGCCCAGAGCATTTGAGGGTACGGTTCGCGCTGAACCAGCTTCGCTTGGGAACGAAGGACTGGTAGAAGTTTGTGACGGCCAGTTTTACTCCTATAGAGCACACTACAGTGACATGGGAGAGGTTTATATTGATGTTATTGTTGGATAAGGTGTCTAAGTCCATAACTTATTTGGTATATACTTGACCCGACCCAACATGGTCCATTTGGGTTGCATTTCATCCAAACTATTTATGGATAATTTTATGAGAGTTATACACATATTATTATTAATATATTATAAGTTATAATATATTAATATGAAGTCATGTTATTTAATTAGTCTTAGTCTTAAATTAATTATGAATTAATTTAGAGATTAAAAGGAAGACTAATTAGATTGTGGGCTATTGATTTTATATGGTGTGGGCTAACACCCATTTGTTAATGGGCTAGGCTTGTATGGAAGTCCATGGATGATCCATGGAGCTTTTAACCCATGGATCCTTGGAAAAGGAAAGGTCATGGGTTATTAGGGTTTCACCCTAATCATGTACACTATATAAGCATGCTTATGTTGCATGAAATAGCCACTAGTGTGTGTGTTTGTGTGTGGCCGAAAATTGTAGTGTGTATACACTCTCTCAAAGTTTTCCAAGAGTTTGTGGTGATTTGTGATTCCATTTGAGGCATTCACACTATTGGTGCTTGGCCCTCAAACTCCTTAAGAATCAAACTCATCAAAAAGGTATGTAATCTCATCTAATTCTTTTATGTTTAAAAGTACCCCATGCCATGTTAGATAGGTTATGAACCTTGGAAAATTATTATTTTGCATGTATTTAGACAAACATAGATCCAAGGTTTATTAGGGTTGCATGCACACTTAGGAAGTGTTAGATTGCTCAAAACCCAACAGTGGTATCAGAGCCTAGGCTTGCTTGTTTGATACTTGATGCAAAATAGTGAAAAAAGTCGAAATTTTTGCTGTCTGCATGATGGACTCGCCGAGTCCATGGGGGGACTCACCGAGTCCAAGGCAAAATTCAACCTACTCGTCGAGTAGGTTCGTGCACTCGGCGAGTAGAAGGTTCAGAATGCAGATTTTCGACTTTTGCTGCTGGAAATGGACTAGAAACTTTACCCAAACTGTTTTGATGTTTTAAAACTTATTTTAGTTGGTGTAATGGTTGTTCTAATCCATTTACAATAGCATATATCAAAATTTCATGCTTTGTATGTGTTCATATAATTTTTGAAACTTTGATAATCATGTTCATGTTCTTATGAATTTAGAAGATGATAGGAATTATTTGCTGAATTGTTTAGGATTAATTCTTGATCATTTATGTGTTTTAATGGAGTCCATAATTTGTCCTCAAGTTATGGATATCCAAAGGTCACTTTTCTTTAACACACATTAAAAACACATAAGTTACATAAAATGAAGAGTCTTCATTTTATGAACCTTTAATTCATAAGTTATGAAATGAAAAGTTTTGAAGAGTTACAAAACTTGTCCTCAAGTTTTGGAATTTGGAAAAGTTTCACACACTTTAATAAACTTTAATTCCAACACTTAGAATTTTAAAAGTTAAAATTCAACACTTATACTATTTATAACATTAATGGTTAATTATATATATATATATATATATATATATATATATATATATATGTATAAGAACAAGTCGTTTTACCGTTAGTAGGCCTCATTCACGAAGCCGGTCTATAAGGTGGGTATAAGGTTGTTGCCTATAAAATGGCGACTTAATGGGTGTATACTCTCACCCACCGCTTGCTTGACTGGTGGAGGGTCGTTAGCCGAACGGGTAAGATAAAGACTTATAAATTCTCATTAAGTATGATGAATATTATAAAGTAACTAAATCTTTTATTTAATTCCCAATCTTAGTTACTTTAGGAAAAATGTGAACATGGTGCTAATCCATGGAATTCACACTTTGTACCTTACCAAGTCGTTGGTGGAGCGTGTGTGGTTAAC